TTTTTTTTTTTTTTTTTTTAGACAGAGGTTTCTTGTTTGTTTGTTTGTTTTTTGCTCTTGTTGCCCAGGCTGGAGTGCAATGGTGCAATCTCGGCTCACTGCAACCTCCACCTCCTCAAGCAATTCTCCTGCCTCAGTCTCCCAAGTAGCTGGGAGATCACAGGTGTGCACCACCACACCTGGCTAATTTTTGTATTTTTAGTAGAGGTGAGGTTTCACTATGTTGGCCAGGCTGGTCTCGAACTCTTGACCTCAGGTGATCCACCCACCTCGGCCTCCCAAAGTGCTAAGATTATAGGTGTGAGCCACTGTGTCGGGCCTCATTCTTACATTCTTATGTTTTTCCTTCCCTTAGTCCTTTCCAAATTGCATGGAGTCATTCTTACATTTGGTCTCATATTTATGAAACCAAACATGTCTCATAAATCAAGTGAATTGTATGGCATATCGGAAAGAATTTATGGTGATGGCATAGCCAGAGTTCATGGAAAGAAAATGGGATTTGAAAGCAGAAAAATGGAAGTCAAGTCGCTATGATTGTGATGGAGTAAATTGGGAACAAACTTGCCTGCCCTCAGCTTCTCTTTCCTAAGCATTTCTTAATGTGGGAGAGTCATTTCAAAATCTGAAAGAATCAGTTGAGGGCTGGTGTACAATTTTCCTGCAGTTCAAAGAGACATTCTTAGCCCAGGTCGTTATCCTTTATGCATGCAAAGCAGCCCAGAATGGAGTGAAGTTCCATGTGTGAGCACGTGATTTCCAAGTGGGAGTGGTCAAGGTTGCATGAACTATGCTCTACTTAGGTGAGGCTGGACAGTGTTTTGCTTGGATGATAGTATTTGTGACACACCAGTAACTCAAGAGGAAAATGGCTTCATCCTTATTGGTGGAGAATCTGGAATGTATATGTCCACCATTGTCCCTCTAACTAAGAGATCAGGGCTCTTTGAGAGCTGGCTAAAGGACCCTTACTTTTTTCCCAGGTGGGGAGAGGTGGAATTTCCTGAGGGAGAAGTAGGGAGGTTGTCTTAGACAAGAACTGCAGGAAGAGGACAAGGGAAGATTGAAAAGGTACATGCAAAGGTGTATATGCAAGGAAAGGCTCTTGATGGCCTGAAATTTGAAATCTTGCTCCCCACCCCCACACTCTAAGGAGGGCATGAAGGAATGAGTTTCAGGTCTTCTTTGAATTTCTCACCGGATTCCTAAGAAGGTGCTTGGACTGCCAGCACTTTTTAGTGGGTTGGGCTCAGGAGGTGAGTGAGGTAACACCAGGGAAGGGATAGCCCTTTCTTCATGATAGTTTGGTGCAGGTGCTGTCAATATGGGGCTGAGAGGAGGGTACCCGGGCCTCTTCTTATAGATGCTCATCAGGGACAACTGAGGCCAGCTCCCTGTTCCTCTTCCTTGCTCAATTTTCTTCCTGTGGCACTTATCGCCCTCTGACATACTTTTGAGTCATTCTCCCACTGTCATGTAATCTTTCTGTGGGCAGGAGCTTAACACTATTGTGTTTGCTGCTGGTTACCCTGTGCCTAGAACAGTGTCTGGCACATAATAGGCACTTAATAAATACATTCTCCCCTGAAAAACAGAAGGCAGAGTCCTGCTACAGCCAGCTTACATATTCAGTGAGCTCTGTGGCATTTGGCAAGCTACCTGACCTCTCTGAGCCTTGGTTTTTTCATCTATAAAATGAAATTATTGTGCTTGATGAAAACATCTATCTCATGGGGTAAGGATCACATCTTCCTAATATGAATTACTGGCACTTTTATGTTTGTATGGTATCAGGAATATTTGAGTTGCCATTAGAAGGTCCCAGGGACATTTTAGAGCCAAGGACCCCAAGAGAGTATACAAGCAGGTAATGAGCAGGCTGGAGGACCATGCTCTAGAGAATTCTAACAGGCCACCAGGAGGCACTCACCAATGAGGTTCAGAGAGATCCATGCCTTCCACTCAGGGGTCTGTCTCCTGTTTGGGCTTTCTCAGCTCATTTTACATTTCACCTTCTGTTAGAGAAGTTTCTTGGTTTGAGCGCTTACCTTTCAGTGTGTCTTAATTCTTCATGAATTACTTCTGCCCTTTCTGGCTTTAGATCTGATTCTGCCCACCTCTGGGTAATGACCTTTAGATACTGCACCTGGGGGCTCTTGCCTTTATCAGCTCTGACTCGTGTTCCATGATGGCATTTTAGGCACATTTCTATATGGCTTGAACCATATATACATTTAACTATATATACATTGATATTGTTAAAGAGAAAAAGAATCTTCAAACTGGTACCGAGAGGATGATATCTGTTGTGCAAATTATCCCAGAGAAAGGTTCCGTCTGGTAAGCCATAAAAAATAACATGGCTGCCCTTGGGCAGGTGGGAATTTAGATACTTCAGAGTCTGCATGACGTTGAAGTAGAATTTCTCAGGAGTGGTCATGGCTGGGACTGTGTCGCGCTTCCTGTTGGTGGAATAAACAGAAAATATCTTGCTTAATTATAGGGATAGATGCATGCAAATTGCAGGCAAATACAAGATTCATCACACACACACACACACACACACACATGCACACACACACAATGTGGTGGTCATTGGGGCTATTTGCAAAATATTCCTGGATTTCCACCTTTCTGGCACATGGTCAGACTATATTTCCTGACTTCTCTGTGGTTGAGTGGAGCATGTGACTAGTTCTAACCAATGAGTGGTGAGCTGAAGTGATGTGTCATATTTGGTGATGTGACACCTTCTAGAATGCTCTTTTTCTTTGAATGGGTGTAGGCAACATTCAAGATAGCTGCTTCAACAATCTGAGTCCCAGGACAGAGTCCCATGGTGGTCTCTGATGGACAAGTAGTATGAGAGAGACATAAACTTTTTTGTTTATGCTACTAAGATTTTAGGGACTGTTTGTTCCCGTGTTCCTGTAGAATAACCTCACTGGCCTGATTTACACAGTTTTTGAAATGAAAGGGGTCTGGTGTTGCTTATGATTTATTTGACACTTTGACATTTGTAACTTGGGGTCTTTAAAACTTTTCAAATGTATCACAGTTAGAAAACAGAATCTTACTGACAAAGTTGTATTATATGTCCACACTATATCTTGCTTTTTATCCTTCATTTTCGGCACTGGATTTGGACTTGCATGCATTTTCTGATGGACTTCTATTCCAGGCTATACCCTGCAACACCATTTCCAACAAACAATTCCAGCTTGCATTATTGTCTTTAAATATTAGTGCTTGTGCTCTATAGAGGGTATTTGAAATTTTAAGTTATATTTTCTCTTCTTATTTTGTAAAAGTTAGTAAAATAAACAAATCAAGTGCTGAAAGTAGTTATGGGAAACACAGGCCTAAAATCAAAGCATGTCAGATGAAGGTGAAATTCCTAAGTGCGCTGAAAGTGGCCAATCTTTACCCTCAGACAGAAATTTATTGAATTTAAGCTGATTGACTTATTTTCATTTGGTTTGGAAAAGAAGTAAGGAATATACAAAATACTACAAAGACATCATTTGAAGTTATGTTTAAATTGTGTTCATTGATTGATTTAATGTTATGTTTCATTGGGTACTCTGCTCACCAGCAGGGTGATGAGGTGATTTGTACTCCAAACCTCAGCATAACACAATATATCCATGTAATGTAATGAAATTGCACATGTACCCCTGAATCTAAAATAAAAGTTGAAATTATTTTAAAAAGCTATGTTTAAAAGGCAAGGAGTCCCAAAATATTTTTGGCATTAATATATGTTTATTATTGTTCATTTTTTGCACAACTGACTTTTGCACACACCTTCAGGAACACAGCAAATATGGATTAGGATCCTAACCTGCATTAACTTGGGAGTAGAATACAGAATTTTATAGGGTTTTCATCTATTCTTTAGGCTCTAACTGCCTGTCTTTACCCTAAGTGGAATAATGCTACAGTGTTACTTTTCATTTTGCATACTTAAAATTCCAGTTTCCCTAATGATACTGCAGTGGTTTAAATAGTGTCCCTGAGAATATGACATTACTTGAAAACAGGGTCTTTATGGCTGTCATTAGTTAACATGAGGTCATAAGGGATTAGTGTGGGCCTTAAATTCAATGACTGAATCCTCCTAAGAAGAGGAGAGGACACACAGACACATGCCAGGATGAAGGCCACGCGAAGACAGAGGCAGAATCTGGGGTTATGGCTTCCAGGAGCCAAAAAGTGCTGAGGATCGCTGGGGGCCACCAGAAGCAGAAAGAGAAAAGGAAGGATTTTTCCCTAGAGCTTTCAGAGGGAGCATGACCCTGCAGACACCTTGATCTTGGATTTTTAGCATCCAGAACTCTGATGGAATACATGTCTGCATTTTGAGTCATCCAGTTTTGGTACTTTGTTATGGCAGCTCCAGTGAACTTAATATAGACTGTGAACTAGATCAAATAAGTCCATCACTCAGAGGCTGGACCCAGGGCATAAGTGATCTGGGAAGAGGGGACAGAAAGGGGTCCTCAGGAATCCACACTTCTTACTTTTAAGGGAGCTCATAAATGAATATTGGCATTGTCTTTTTGTAGGGCAATTTTTAAAGATGTATCCAAATTTAAAGTTGGCTTAACTTTTGACCTTGAAATTTCAAGAAGTTATCCTACAGTAACATTTCCACAAATATGTAAAAATGTACATACGAGTATTACAATATTACTTGGTATAGTGCACAACTGGAAAAGATAAAAGCCTAAATACATAAATTATGGTACACCCATACAATAGAACTCTATACAGCCATTACAAAGAATAAAATAACTAGATACCATTGGTTGAACAACACGGTGAACTGGGAATGCCACTGAATTGTTTGCTTTAGAATGGTTAGTCTTACATTATGTGAATTTCACCTGAATAAAACAAATGAAGTAATTTTTATGTATGAATATAGAAAGGTGGCTAAAAATTACTGTTGACTACAACAATACTTTTGGAGCTGTGGGGGTAGCCAGTAGGGTGGTAGCTGTGGTTGGTGTATGTGCTTCTACACTAGGTAATGGATTGCTGGCGTCTCCTAAGAGGGGAGAGAAGAAGATGTCTAATTTTACAAAACCTCAGGATGTAGAACTGCATGCTAAATTCATGCTTTCCATTGTCATGAAAAAATTATACTATTTTAAAAATAAAAATCTTTCTAACCTGCTAAAAAGCAGCTACAAAGATTTGCGACTAGGTGACCTACCTACTGGGGAGAGGGGTGGGGAGGGGCTTTGACTTAATTCCCACCTACACAGAAGCAGCACTGGAGAATCTGCCCAAAGTACCCAGGTTCTGTATTCTCTGTGTGTCTGAAGTGTGACAGCAAGGGTGAAATGAAAGGCAAGTTGGGTGTCTGCATCCTTTTTTCTGTCATTGGTAAAGCTAGCACACACTGCCTATTAACTTTTGCCTTGCCACGCCTTTTTTTTTTCATGTTAATACAACAGCACTTTGGCATAAAGCAATTATGCTGAGCTAATGTTCTCCAACCACATAAAGGCAAGATGAGTTAAGATGGACAAAGTCTTCCCAAATCCCCATTGAATAATTATTTTTTTGGTTAGAGACACAACCCTGATGCTAAATGAAGAATTTGAGCTAATTTGTGCTTATGAAAGGGCACCCACAAATTAAGCAAGTATAATCAACATGGTTAATTGCTAAGTGAAATCAAAATGGAAGCCTTGGTGTTGCTAATGGAACATTTGCCAGTTATCTTTGTTCCATCTGGCACAACTATAGAGCAAAATCAACCAACTCTTAGCTCAGGTAAGGGCAAGGGAGTCTATGTGAGTCGTGGGGGGATCACTCCTTCCAGATGCCATAGAAGATGCCTTCTGACTTCTGTCCCTGAAAAGTTTTCAATGCCATTTTGACCTGTGTACTCTCTCTCCTCTGGTGATCCTGGGGGAGACTTAGTGCTAGTATTCTGGAGATCAGAGAACCCTAGTGATTGGGAACTACCTCCTAGGTTCTCTGGTGTCTGCCAAAGAACAAATGGGCTGAGCTGAAAGTGTCTAATCCTTTTCAACTCAGGAGTCCCAGTCACCTGCCACCCTCAGTTTGCCTGCCCACCCCAGCACCCTGGCACCCCTTCTCACAATGAGCTCACTCCAGACATTCAGATGGATAGGTGAGAGATCAGGAGTGCTCAAATAATGGAGAAGATGTGAAAATCAGCCTGGGACACAGTGGCCACACTAGGGAAAATAATGAGAGAGAAATTGGTGCTCACTGACATACTCTCACACATGTCGGGAGTACATGACGGGCTCAGAACAGATGAAGAGCCTCACCCCTGAGGGTGGCTCTGAAGCCTGTCCTGCCCTAATGAATTGTGTCTGATCAGGCAAAATAAGCCTGATTATTTCATTACCCTGGTAGGTAAGCCAGCCAGATTTTACCTGGCTGGTGCCAGAGACAGGTGTCCCTTCTCAAGGAAGAAATCGATCAGCTTGTGCAGAAAATTGGCTTCCTAGAACCATAGCTAAAGCCCAGATCACTAGTGATCAAGTGCTCAGACCTCACTCATACCTAGATTTGTGTTTTCAAAACACCCAGTTAAGAGGGTTAGCCCTTTTCTTCATGCCAGCCAGTTGCAATCACATCATTGGGCTCCCATCCAATCCCCTTGAAGAGATTTTTTTTGTTTTAAACAGATACAGGGTCTTGCTCTATCACCCAGGCTGAAGGGCTGTGGTATGATCATAGCTCACTGCAGGGTTGAACCCCTGGGCTCAAGCTATCCTCCCACCTTAGCCTTCTGAGTAGCTGGGGAGAAGGGGCATTGTAATACACACTGGAAATGGGGTGAGGACTTCCACATTACCTCATGCATAGAGATACATTAAACATCCCTTAAATGTGGGTGTGACCTGGAACATGCTGGTTGGTTGTAACTTCCTTATCATTCCCTTTGCTACCCATGTCTCTGACTGAGGAGGCTAGGAGAGAGAACTCCTCTGAGCAGTAGGAGCTCTGTCCATTCCCTTCCCTACTGGCTTTCCTATCATCTGAATAAATAGCATCGATTGTTTCTCACTAGTCCAGGCTCCTTGGGGCCTGCGACCTGTCAGTGCCTTGGCTGGCTTCCTCTTAATGCAGTGCTGCTGCCCAGGGTATAACCTGAAGCATTGGCATTGAAGAAAAACAATGGTTGGGGCCAGGGGGGCACAAAAAGCCTGTGTGGGTGGTCCTGGCTCTCTCCATAAGATTAAAATGTATAATGTATACTTTCTCTGTATTCTCCTAAGAATATGATGCTTATATGAATGCCATCTGTCCTGTGATTGCCCACTGTAACAAATGAAACCATATCCATTTATGGGGCTAGTGCTAGACGCTTGGATAATTCTATGGCATTTCCAGCAATTACCATGTTCATTTCAGGGATGCCATGTTGGGATGTTGGGGAAGGGTTGATGCTGGGATGTTGGGGAAGGGCTGTCACTGGCCTGTATGGTTGGATGTTCTGAGGCCATTCTCATTTCCCACTGCTGCCTCTGCCACCCCAATGTTCTGCTGCTGTAGCTCCCCCACATTTGCCCTGTTTTCAGGAATGTTTCTCCTTCCATATCACTCATATCACATGGCTCTCAACGGCAGTGATGGGAAAGGCATGAAGGAAGCTGAGTTAGCCTAAATCAAATTGAGCAGGTTTACAATGAGAAAGTCAGGTTCTCTATATGTATGACCTTTCTTTTTGACTTTCTGATGCTAAAAGCTATCTTCCTACCGTGACCCTCATTCATTTAACAAGTGTTTGTTGAGTAACCGCATGGGTTTAGAGAATTGAGAAAGAAACACATAAATGTGTTACTTCAACAAGAACTAGCATCATCATAGAAAAAGAAAAGAAAAAAGTCAAGCAAATATCCTAAAACTTGTTCCAGGACAGACTTATTATGTAACTCCTTGCTGCTTGAGCTTTTTATAAAATCCCTTTGCTCATTTTGGGAAATCTATTCCACCTTGACATTCTGGCAGATGGGGAGGTGTAGTTGCCATCTGTCTTTATTTTTTTAACCCCTCCACAGGACATCACAAAGTGGGCACCACAGGGACATCCCATACTGCCAACTCTGTTCTTTCACCCAAATGCTTGCTGCTTCTCTGCCCAGATCCCCAGCAGGGGAGAGGCTGGCACAGGTCTCTGGCTGATGTCTGCCTGCCCTTTAGCTCTTCGGGAAAGGAAAAGTAGGACTGGGCTGGAGGGGTCTGGGTAGGCAGGTTGTGCTGGAAAAGTATCGTTTCAGGGATTTTGGCTTTTGGAGCCAGAGTCACTTGCTGCACACGTTCTTTATTCAGTATTGTCAGTTTGTTCTCTGTCCCTCTTTGGAAGGACATGCTCTGGGGGCTGGGGGAGCACTGGCTGGTCTGACCGTAGATTTATTCTGTTTCATGATGGCGGCTAGGAGCTGAAGCATGGTGTTTCTCCTTCCATTAGCTTCTTGATGGCAGTGGCTGTGGCTTCTTTGCCATTGTATCCTAGAGCCTGGCACAGTGCTTGGCACATCATGGGTGTTCACTATATACTTAAAAAAGTGAATGAGTCAAAGAAAGGAAATAAGGAAGCGTGGACTATAGAAAGGGGATGGGATTTGGTAGAGAACCTGGTTTGGCTCCCAGCTTTGATGCTCGATCCCAGAACAGGCAAGCTCCTTATCCTTGCCAAATCAGTTCCTCATCTGCTAAATGGGACAATCATCCTTGCCTCTTAGAGCTGCTGGGAGGATGGAATGATAGAGAGTATTGTACCTCTTGGCTCATGGCAGTCATGGTGTTTGCTGTTTATTAGAAAGTCCCAGGTGGCTCTTCACAGACCTTGGTGCCCAGCATGTAGCCTTGGCAACTTGGGGTTCTGAGGACAGCAGTAAACCAGCCTAAGGGCACCACGGTGACATCTGACATATCAGAGTCTCTGGATCATTGTGTGGTATATCCTGCCCTGAACACACTTCACTGATTATGTCTACGTCTCCTTTGCCATCTGAATTTTGTCTGTGTGGGCAAACACACTTTAATACTATTGAGTTTTGTTTTCAGCGCAGGCTTGGAAAGCATGGCAAGTGAAATACAGGAAAGCAAACGGGGCGAGTGAGCAGGATGGCCCACTTCTAGCATAGTCCGGGTGGAGTCCAGCTCTGCCATTAATCAACCCTGTTGCCTTGGGCAAGTCATGAACATCTCTTGGCCTTACTTTTCTGTTTCCTAAAATAGTGAGTGGGTGGCTATTGCTACTGCGGTGTTGCTCTAAATTCTATCTTACCAATTTTTTTTCTTTTTTGGCCACAATCACAGAACAGATGGCATTCATACATGTATCATATTCTTAGGGGTGTACACAGATTTTGACAAAACTCCCCAAATGTTGTATAGGAACTAAGGGATTCACCATTTTGAAGTCACTGCTGATATCAGCAGTTTAGCAAAATTACCTTCTTGCTAGGGGCCATGGACATAGATAGGATTGGCCATGAGTTATTCATAGTTTCTTTGCAAATGCTGTAGGTCTATGCATCTATGCTGTCTCTTCCACGTGAGGAAGTAAAGTAGATGAGAATATGAGTGAGATTGATATTCTTATGGGGTAGCTGTGCTTCTGCCTTATTTTACTAAAAAAGTCACAATTCCCAATCTTGGATTCTCAGCCCTTAGTGGCACATTTCTTGTGACATAAATGATGAGGACATACATTTGTTGTTACATCAGAGTTGATAATTAATGGAGCAGACATTTTCAAAAGGGGTTTTCAGCTTCATAGATTGGTTCTGTTGATTTCACATGTGTCTAGGACTTGCTTTTTTTTGAGACAGAGTCTTGCTCTGTCATTCAGGCTGGTGTGCAGTGGCATGATCTCAGCTCATGGCAACCTCTACCTCCTGGGTTCAAATGATTCTGTTGCCACAGCCTCTCATGTAGCTGGGATTACAGGCACATGCCACCACGTCCAGCTAACATTGCATTGTTAGTAGACATGGGGTTTTGCCATGTTGGCCAGGCTGGTCTCAAACTCCTGACCTCAGGTGATCTGCCCGCCTTGGCCTCCCAAAGTGCTGGGGTTACAGGCATGAGCCACTGCACCAGGCTGTGCTTCTAAGATAGAGAAATTCAGTTAAAGAGCACGCTGCTATAATGCAGTGGAGTTGGTGAGGAGTGGGGTGGGGAAGACCCCAGAGCCAAAGAATCTTGAAAATACTTTTTCGCAGTAACTCACCCATTGCAGACATCATTTCCAATCATGGCATATATAACGATGGCAGGATGGTCCAACATTGTGTGTCTAGACAAGCTGAGAAGGCATAGATGGAATCCGAATGTCAGAGATTTGGAAACTTAGCTTTGTAGCCAGTGACACAGGCAGGGCCTTTGAAAACAATCTTGGTATGACCCCCCTGTTGGCAAACTTTTTGCTATTTTTCTTTCATTTTAGTACAGCCAACCACCATTCTCATTTCCCATTTATTCTCCATAATTATTATCCCACTTGCCTATTAGAGAAAGGCCACATAACTGCATAACATTGAAAAGAGTGGATTGAAGTCCCGGGTAAATAGACACAATACTGTCTTCTTGGCATCTTTCACGGCGATTGCATCAGTAAGCACGGGTGAGTTATTGGGTTACTTATGTCCACGTTCTTAGAATATCCAGGCAGCTGTGGACCCACAGTCAACTTTGAAAAGGCAAGGGCTTCTTGAGGCTTCTGGTCAGGACACCTCAAGCCTTGCTTCTGAACTTGAAGCCCCAAATGAGCACAAAAAGTTTTCTCATTCATAAAGCAGGAATATGACATCATCCTTTTGTCTTTTCAGTTACTTCTGTCAGGCCTAAGTTTTACCCACTTTGTATGCATCTTTATCACCCTTCTTTGAGGACATATGCAAATTAATCACTTTCTAGGCTCACTGGCCCAAGGAGTGCTATCCTAGAGTTTGGATAGTGACTAACAAGCTATTTATGCTTGGTAAAAATGATTATGGGATAATAACAGAGTTTTCATTCTTTATTCAAAATGAGAAACCAAATTAAAAACAACTTCTTATCTTCCGCTTACCTTTCTATAAATGTCTTCAGGTTTTGGGAAGATGCACCTGAATAATTAAAATTAAGAAAACAATTAAAGTTAGTGAGTTCAATTTCACACCATCAATATGGGAGTCTGATTGACTGAACTCATGAAAGCAGCATCACTGTTTGGTCAAAGGTTGTTCCGACCAACACGCCGATGGAAATAATTTCTTTCCAATCAATTTCTGTAGTGTTTAATCCTGAAACTCTCCTTAAGGGCTTTTCTGTTTATTTAGCAGTATATTAACATAACCAAAATTTCTTTGGATTCAGGGGTCTTCAGACATTTCGTAAGCATGAATGAGTAAACCCTCTAGTAGATGTGAGAAAAAAGTACATATCTACCACCAAAGAGACAAACTACTGAAAATATTAAGGAACGAGTTGAAGAATTAGATGAAAATGAAAAGAATGTTTTAAGAATCACCCACCTCTTTGGAGAGCACCATTTAATCTCCTTCTATTTTTCCTGCACAGTCCGGGAGCTCCTGCAGGCTATCTGACCAGCACAAGGTTCAGATTGTAGAGTTTATATATTTCAATTCTTATAATGATATGAATGACCATCCTGCCCCAATCCCTGTTACCACCTGTAACATATCTCTTATATGAAAATCCAGGCCAGGTGTGGTGGCTTACGTCTGTAATCCCAGCACTTTGGGAGGCTGAGACAGGCAGATAACTTGAGGTCAGGAGTTTGAGACCAGCCTGGCCAACATGGGGAAATTGCATCTCTACTAAAAATACAAAAAATTTAGCCAGGCATGGTGGCACATGCCTGTAATCCCAGCTACTTGGGAGGCTAAGGCGGGATAAATGCTTAAACCTGGGAGGCGGAGGTTGCAGTGAGCTGAGATCATGCCACTATGCTCTAGCCTGGGCGACAGAGCAAGACTTCATCTCAAAAAAAAAAAAAAAAAAAAAGTCCTGTTTGTTGAATACTTATTTTATTCTAGGTGCTGTTAAACATTTATAGCTCATTTAAGCTGTGGTACAATTGTGTGAGGTAGGTACTGCCGTATTCCCACTTTTAAATAAGGAAACTGAGGTCCACGTAGGTGGCTTTCCCAAAGCCACACAGGCACTTATTTGAAGAACTGCGGCTCAAACCAGTACAGTCCCTTCCATCTGCCACGCTGAGCTCTAGCTTCCCAATGTTCCTCTAGGCTGCAGCTGAGAAATAGTGAACCCAAACCAGCGTACTGCCCAAGAGGCAGATCTGCTAGAAATAAGTGAGTAATTGTCAGGTGGGTGGTGCAACTCGGTGGACAAGTGGGGAAACACCATCCAGTTGCCCCTTTCCACAGGAAGATTTTCCTATAACTTCCAGCCTTGGAAGCTTGGGGATAGGTGCCTTTCCCGCAGACCCAGGCGTGTTCTTCCAGTTTCACACGGGAAAAAGGGCAGTGCACAGCCATGGAGTCTGTGCTGGCCTGTGTGTCACTGAAGCTGTGTAGCTATGCATTGACCGCCTCTTTGTCACATACAGCTAGCTGCAAGCTGTACAAGCAGCACTGATGTTCTCTTGGTTGACTCAGGAATGTTAGCACATTAAATGAATATTGCTTTATGTCTCTTTTATTATGGTAAAATATACATCTCATTTCATCTTTCGATCCCTTTTGAGTGTACAATTCAGTGGCATTAATTGTTGTGCAACCATCAGCACCACCATCTCCAGAACTTTTCCATCATTTCAAACCAAAACCTGAAATGCATTAAAGAGTAACTTTCCATTAGCTTCTCCCTCCAGCCCCTGATAACCACCCTTCTACTTTCTGCCTCTATGCATTTAACTATTCTAGGCACCTCATGTGGGTGGCTCATGCCACACTTGTCCTTTTGAGTCTGGTTTATTCTACTCAGCATAATGTCCTCAAGCTTCATCCACATCACATTTTGTTTATCCGTTCATTCATTGATGGCCATTTGGGTTGTTTCCACCTTTTGGTTGTGAATAATGCTGCTATGAACGGTCCCGGCTTTCAAGTGTTTTCAGCATATGGTATACCTAACTGAAAGTACCGGGTTGTATAATAATACTATGTTTAACTTTTTTTTGAATTGGCTATACCATCTTCTTTCTTTTTTGTAGTGAGGCAAAGAATCATCATTATTGTTTTAATTTCAACTTTTATTTTTGATTTGGGGGTACATGTGCAGGTTTGTTACTTGGGCATATGTGTGATGCTGAGGTTTGGGAGACAATTGATCCCATTGCCCAGGTTCTGAGCATAGCAGACCCAGTAAGTAATTTTCTTTCTTTTAAGTTCTGGGGCACATGTGCAGGATGTGCAGGTTTGTTACACAGATAAATGTGTGCCATGGTGCTTTGCTGCACCTAACAACCCATCACCTAGGTATTAAGCCCCGTATGCATTAGCTATTTTTCCTGATGCTCTTCCCACCCCAGCACTCCCCCGACAGGCCCCAGCATGTGTTGTTCCCTTCCTGTGTCCACGTGTTCTCATTGTTCAGCTGCCACTTATAAGTGAGAACATGTGGTGTTCCGTTTTTTGTTCCTGTGTTAGTTTGCTTAGGATAATGGCTTCTAGCTCCAACCATGTCCCTGCAAAGAACATGATCTCATTCCTTTTTATGACTGCAAAGTATTCCGTGGTGTATGTGTATCACATTTTCTTTATCCAGTCTATCATTGTTGGGTATTTGGGCTGATTTCATGTCTTTGCTATCATGAATAGTGCTGCAATGAACATACACATGCATGTATCTTTATAACAGAATGATTTATATTCCTTTGGGTATATAACCAGTAATGGTATTGCTGAGTCAAATGGTATTTCCGGTTCTAAATCTTTGAGGAATTGCCACACTCTTCCACAATGGTTGAACTAATTTACATTCTCACCAACAGTATAAAGGCGTTCCTATTTCTCTGCAACCTTGCCAGCAACTGTTTCTTGACTTTTTAATAATCACCATTCTGACTGTCATTTTCAATTCTTGCTCCCTGCTTCCCTCCTCACACCTAGTACTCTTGTATCTATCCTTGTCATCTTTATGTCCCTGAGTATCCATTGTTTAGCATCCTACTTGTAAGTGAGAACACATGGTACTTGGTTTTCTGTTTCTGCATTAATTTGCTTAGGACAATGGCCTCTAGCTGCCTCCATGTTGCTGGCAAAGATTATTTAGTTCTTTTTATGGCTGCATAGTATTCCACGGTGTATATGTACCACATTTTCTTTATTCATTCCACTGTATAGGCACCTAGGTTGATTGCATGTCTTTGCTATTGTGAATAGCGTTGTGATGGACATATGAGTGGCTATGTCCTTTTGGTAGAATAATTTATTTTCTTTTGGCTATATACCCAGTAATGGGATTGCTGGTTCAAATGGTAGTTCTCAAAGTTCTTTGAGAAATCTCCAAACTGCTTTCCACAGTGGCTGAACTAATTTACATTCCCACCAGCAATGTATAAGGCTCTTCTCTGCAGCCTTGCCAGCATCTGTTGTTTTCTGACTCTTTAATAATAGTCATTCTGACTGGTGTGAGATGGTATTTTACTGTGGTTTTGATTTGCATTTCTCTGATGATTAATGATGTTGAGTCTTTTTTCACCTGCTTGTTGGCTGCTTATATGTCTTCTTTTAAGAAGTGTCTCTTCATGTCTTTTGCTCATTTTTAAAATAGGGTTATTTGATTTTTGCATGTTCAATTGTTTAAATTCCTTATAGATTCTGAATATTAGACCTTGGTTGGATGCATCATTTGTGAATATTTTCTCCCATTCTGTAGGTTGTCTGTTTACTCTGTTGATGGTTTCTTTTGCTGTCCAGAACTTCTGTAGTTTAATTAGGTCCCACTTGTTTTTGTTTTTGTTACAACTGTTTTTGAAGACTTAGTCATATTTTTTTTTTCCCAACCAATGTCTAGAATGATATTTCCTAGGTTTCCTTCTAGAGTTCTTATAGTTGAGGTCTTACATTTAAATCTTTAATTCATTTGAGTTAATTTTTGTATATGGTGAAAGATACTGTATGGTGGAATATATGGTTCTAATTTTATTCTTCTGCCTATGGCTATCCCAGCATCATTTATTGAATAGGGATTCCTTTCCCCATTGCCTATTTTTGTTGACTTTGTTGATGATCAGATGGCTGTAGGTGTGCCTTCTTATTTCTGGGCTCTCTATTCTGTTCCATTGGTCTATGTGTCTGTTTTTGTACCAGTACCATGCTGTTTTGGTCACCGTAGCCTTATAGCATAGTTTGAAGTTGGGTAATGTGATGCCTCTAGCTTTGTTCTTTTTTCTTAGGATTGCTTTGGCTATTCAGGCTTCTTTTTTTGTTCCATATGAATTTTAGAATAGTTTTTTTCTAGTTCTGTGAAAAATGATATTGGTGGCTTGATACAGATAGCATTAAATCTACAGATTGCTTTGGGCAGTATGGCCATTTTAACAATACTGATTCTTCCAATTCATGAGCATGGAATATTTTTCCGTTTTTTTCTGTGTATGTGTGTCATTCATGATTTCTTTCAGCAACATTTTTTAGTTCTTCTTGTAGAGATCATTTACTTCCTTGGTTAGATGTATTTCTAGGTATTTTATTTTCTCGGGATATTAGAAATGGGATTATGTTCTTGATTGGCTCTCAGCTTGAATGTTCTGGACGTATAGACATTCTACTGATTTTTGTACATTGATTTTGTATCCTGAAACTTTGCTAAAGTTGTTTATCAGTTCCAGTTCCCGGAGCCTTTTGGTGCAGTCTTTAGGTTTTTTGTTTTGTTTTGTTTTGTTTTTTGTTTTTATGGAGTCTCGCTCTGTTGCCCAGGCTGGAGTGCAGTCGTGTGATCTCAACTCACCACAACCTCTGCCTCCCGGATTCAAGCAAGTCTCCTGTGTCAGCCTCCTGAGTAGCTGGGACTACAGGCATGCACCACCATGTCTGGCTAATTTTTGTATTTTTAGTAGAGACGGGGTTTCACTACATTGGCCAGGCTGATCTTCAACTCCCAATGTTGTGATCCGCCTGCCTCGGCCTTCCAAAGT